TTCGTCCGCTCGGGCCGATTCGAGGGCCGTGGTGGGGCGGCCCTGAAAGCTCACGAGCTCGGTTCCTCCCTTCTCGATCATCAGCACCTGGTCGTTGCCGGTGTGGAGGGTGAGCGCGGAAAAAGCCCCCGCGTTGAGCAGCCACGGAATGCGCTCAACCAAACTTATGGATGAGTGGCGGGAGGAATTCGATCGGATGGATTGATCGGGATTGCCTTCCTTCGCATTGGATTGGATTTCGCCGAAAACGGACACCTCATTGGCGTCGTCCTCATAGAAGCAGAGCACGTCAACCTGATTTGCACCCTTACACGAGAGAAGCTTACCCTCATGAGAACAAGGCAAGGAGGAATGAGAAAAAGAGCTAGGATCATCAACGTTAGTGAACGGTGTGGAAACTTTGGATGTCTCGTATTTGACCGAAGACAAGATGCGGCTGTTTCTCGTCCCTGGGGTGCGCACGACACCGCTAGCGCTACTACGGCCTTCAGTATTATGCACCCCAGAGTGTGAAGCCGCGCGCTGTTGTGCGCGAGCCACCCCGCCAACACGGGACGGCGGCAAAACTGACAAAATAGCCTCCTGAGAGCGATCAAACTGAGTGACAACATCTTGCAAAGTCCCTGGCCTGGATCTGTTGGATAAAAGGGTTGGTAGCGAATCAGAAAAAACGTTGCTACATCGTTTACTAGCCCCTGGTAAGCCAGAAAAGTGCTGAGAGTTTGCACGCTCGGATAAGATCTGCTGGCCCTCCAAAATATTAGGGGTAATAGAGGCATCGCCGTCTGCATTCCCTGCCCCAATGACAATCCGTATGGACCCCAGAGGACTGTAAGGGGTGATTGGCCGTAAGACAGCGCGCGAGGTTGGTCTTGATCCCATGGAATGCAGTATGCCGTCCTCTCTGAGAATAAAACTGGGGCACATGCAAAAAACGTTGTGAAGCAGCTCCTCCGACGTTGGCCGCATCTCGGCCTCAAACACCAACATTTGATTCACCAAGGACACCACCATGGAGTGCATGAGCTGCTCTCTATCCTCAAAATCAGCCCCGTAGTGCTGCTTCAGCGCGCGAAGTTGGTCTTCTTCGAAAACGTGCGGTTGTTGAAGCCGGGACTGATCATAAATACCCTCGGTCACGACGTGGATCTGAGCAAGAACGTTATCGCCGCAGAAAGGCAGCGTTAAACAATAAAGCTCGTACGTGAGCACCCCCAACGCCCACACATCCACGCTAAAAGAGTACGGCTTCCCGAGCAGCATCTCCGGACTGAGGTAAAACGGCGTGCCAATGAAGGTCTCCGCAAACGGGTGGTCCTGGGCGAGCAGTTTGGAGACGCCAAAGTCGCCGAGCTTGACGGTACCATCGCGTGTGAGGTAAATATTTGACGGCTTCACATCACGGTGGATGATGCAAAGAGAATGAAGGTAGGCGAGCGCGTCCAGGCACTGCCGAACAATATCCGTGATTTGAAAAGAATCAATCCACCGCAGTCGGGACGCGGCCGCGGGGGGGTGGAAAGGGGCTTCTCCCATCTTCGGGCCCCATTCCTGAAAAAGCAGTTTGCTGGGGTGGGTTTCCGTCCATGAACAGGACGGCCGCTGCCCACCAGCCCCAGAAGTCGAATCGGAAATGGTCGTCGTTGTGGGCTCGTTGCCAAACCCACGCCCTTCCATTTCACGGCTGCGCTTTAACCGCGTTTGGAATCCGGCGTCTTCGGCAGAAAAAAAGTGCGAATCCTTGCCACCGGTGCTGTCTAACGGTGTATCTGGTATAAAGCTCGTATCCCCGTAGATCCAGGACTCCCCGACAGTCTTTCGGAATGAACTGACATACGCCGATGACGGATGTGGAGGTCGGGA